CGTCAACATGCGATCAGCAGCGTCAACTTGTGCGCAAATTTTCGTCCCCTCCCGAATCCCTGTACAGTCACCTCAGCCGCCTTCGCCATGTCAAACACGGTGTCTCTGCGCTGACGACCCCCCGCAGGGCTCACAAAATCAGTGAACGAGGCTGCATAACTGCTGTGCCAACGGTACACATCTACTTTTTCTGTCCCCTGAGTCCCTACAAAGACGATTCCTTCTCACGATTGCGATCTCGGTGTGATAGTTCAAGATGACCTCGGTTGTTCAAGGCAGACTGAAAAGGCAGCTAAGAAAGCGAACCAGTACCTCGGCCTTCTTCGTAGAGCCTTCGGGAAGTTTGACCCTTCAGTCTTCCCAAAAATGCTTAGTGCGTACGTGAGGCCGCACGCGGAATACGCTATTCAAGCGTGGCAACCCTGGCTCAAGCACCATCTCACCGCGCTCGATACTGCACAACGTAGGGCAACGAAAAGCGTCAGAGGTTTGACCAGCCTCCCCTACCCACTCAGGCTGAAGACCCTCAAAATATACAGTGGACGTTATCGGCGTTTAAGGGGCGATCTCATTATGGTGTACCTAATCCTGAGAGACCCCAACCACCCATGCCATTCCCTTCTAATACTCAGTCAAAACACCTCGCTAAGAGGTCACCAGTTTAAGTTAGTGACGCAGTACAGCCGCCTGGAATGTCGGCGAAACTATTTCTCCCTTCGAGTGGCACAGCCTTGGAACGCCCTCCCGGAACATGTAATTAATGCACCCACCCTATCCCTTTTCAAAAAAGGCCTTGACGATACCCTGTCACATTTACACTACGTGCTATAGCCCATGACCACCAGCTGCTTGCACTAATGCACAACAGACAGGGGATAGTGCCATAACCCCACTCGAGAATGAGTCATTCCAAACTCTTTACACGAAATTTGATAAACGCTACTACTACAGAAACTGGATTACTGTATCCTGTCGACCCAAGATTGTTTCACACGAGTAAGCGTTGTCCTTGCTGCCTTTTTTATTTTTCTCGCCTACGATGTGAACAATAACCACTCCCCTGTTGCTTTGTGTGAGTACATTCTCATTTCAAACTCCCTCTATACGACAGTGCAGTTACATCTGTAAGCGCCCGAACCGAAGACTCCATTATCCCTTCACTATCTTTTTATCACGCTATACACCCCACGGGACATGTCAAGCACCTGCTTTTTTACCCGTTATAAATCATTGGTCATTGTTCGTTCATTGTTCGATCTCACCCTCAACGTCCCTGACCGGTTCAGTTCACTCTGGAGAAGATCCGTGCAAAATGCAAATCCCTGCGGTCATCGGCCTCTCCAGGCACAAACGCCTTCCACCCAAATCTCGTGCGAACGTGAGCTTCAGCTCTAACTTGACCTTCAGCTGAACTACTCACCCATTTCTTCTCTACATTTTGAAGTTCCCAACGATTGGAAATGCCGTGCCATTACGCCAATCTACTAAGGCGGCGTGTGTAAGGACCCGTCAATTGCCAAACATCAACCCTTCTCTCTAAGATCACCAAAGTGTTGAAATCGATCATCGCAGATACATTAACGGACCACATTGAGCTTCAGAAACTGCCTTGCGTTCACCTGTACGGCTTCCGAGGGCGCGGATTATGCCTGAGTAACTTGTTACTCGCCCGGGATGGCTGGACGACTGCTACTGACACAGGCCTAGAAACACACTTTATCCACTTGGATTTCGTCAAAGCTTTTAACAAAGTGGACCACACCATCCTAACCTACAAGCTACTGCTTTATGGTAAGTATTTAGCCTTGATTGACAGGATCCGAAATTTCTCCACTATACCGTCCAAGTACGTGTCGACGAAGCGCTGTCCTCCCGTATCCTTGCGACAAGCGGTGTTCCACGGGGCTCTGTTCTTTGACCGGACTTTTTCTTATCCTTCGTTGACGATGTCACAACACAAGTCGAGTCCTACTTGCTACGGTATGCTGACGACACCAAGCTGTTTGGCGCAAGTAATGCTCCGGACGATACCCGCACACTTCAAAGGGGTCTCATCCGACTGCACCAGTGGTCCCTGGAGAACAAATTCCCGTTTAACGCTTTGAAATGTTGCGTCTTCTCCACTAGTCCTTCCTGTTCTCCAATATACCTTCTGGGGGAGTCTGTTCTCCAGGTCTCCTCAGCCGAAAGAGATTTGTATATCGTCACCCGATGCAATCTTTCTGTATCTGTTGCCGAGAAGCAGCCTCTACTGCTAACCGCATACTGGGATTGTTAAAACTTGCCTTCGGCCAAATTGACCCGTGGAAATTCCGAGAGTTTGCGGATCTTGGAAAGCCGTACCTGCCGACTTAGTCCCGGCATCTACTGTGGCCGATTTCAAGACGCGCCTGGACCGTCATCTTTTCGAACTGCATTACCATCTCCCCTGTGACAACTACCTACTATTCTATATCTCCAGACTAGTCCCGGTCAACTCCTAACCGCTTTTCACTTACGCAGCAATCTGTCCTACTCTAAGCACCCTGGTTTACATGTTAATAGAGTCTTCTTTTTCTACTCTGCCTTATTCTTTCCTTAACCTTATCAGAGGGCATGGTGAGGCGTCACGCTTTGAGACATCATGCATCCTGTTTAAATGCCACAAAGGCTAGATGATGATACGCCTAACACGCATGTTCAAGCCTTTATAAGGTTGTTTAGCCTTTCATAAGACCCGACTGTAACTCTTTACACCCTATGGGCCACGTAAAGTTCCAGGTTTTATTACCATTGAATACAGTGTTCAAATGCTGTGGCGAATGTTTGGAACTATGCCAGAACAGGTCTCGGGGGCCGAATCTGCGCAGCCGTACAAAACTTTGTTGGGTTTACATTTCACCACCCTTCGATTCAGAGAACAAGTGCACACTAGCAATGACATCCTACATTTGTGATCCTAGTTAAACTGTAAATCAGACATTTTAAAATGCAACGTAAGAACTTGAAGAACGATTAGATTCTCATGGATTGCTGACACTTTTATAACATTGCTGATTATATTGCGATGGAGTTGTACAGATTTAAATTCTTAGTTGCTCGCACGTACAGTATTCAGCAGTACAAAAACGAGACGTCTACTAGCAAAACACATAACTCAGATGGCATACCAATATCTAAGCCCAACCTCAGTTACAGGGACAGTGAGTAGGCTTACTAAACCCAGCCACTGGATAGCGGAACTTTCGTGAAGCTTGTATGATTGGCAATTATTTTCGTAGTCCGGAAATAGTGGTTTCGAGTTACCATACATAGAAAGGCCTTTTGTGACTCATCATCCAGTTTGCTCGGTTATCTTTTCATGATTTAAGCATTGTACCTCTGCGAGTATTGTGGGATTAAAAGAAACCGGCTTTTGTTGTTCACACATTCATAACTAAATTTTCCGCATGAAAATGTTCTACTAGGGTTTATATCCTACTCCACGGAGTAGTACAGAAACTTTCCAAGCCTTGGATACGTATATGTTATTATCAACCCTTATGTTCCGCGGCAAATGACCGAATGCAGTCTGAAATTGCCAGTAGATGAAATATTGCAATCTGTGAGCCTAGTCTCACGCACGGCTTGATTCCCAGGACAAAAGGAGCAAAACTTGATGTAGCGGAAATCGTAAATATGTTTCTATAACAGTAAATTCAAATGTACATAAATGACTTACAAATAGGTTTGTGGACGTAGCCTCAATGTAGCACAACAGTGAGCCGAAACAATCCCAGCAGTCCATGTTCCTGGTCAGCGGTAAACTGGGGCAACGGTGAGACGGACAGCACCGTCCAGCACACATCAACGGTGAAGTGCGTGGTTATGAGCCACTGGGACGGTGCTTTGGTTAACTACATTGATGCGAATAAACAGATGTCACGGTCGTGCATTATAATCCGCCTGGTTGTGCACAGAGGGCATAAGACGACAAAATAAACTATGTACATTTGGTGACAAGTAGGAAAACAAGGATAGACATTGCAATTTGTGAGTTTGTAATTCACCCAATCGCCGATCTGGATTCTGACAAGAAGCGTGATCTCCAAAAGGTTGAACTTGCATTTTAACTGGGCCGAAATCACTCTACTCACTGATGGCGTAGGTTGTTTGCTCATGTACTCAGTAATTTACCGAACTCGTCATTCTTCTATTATCATGGATGGGTTTTCTCATACCCAACATCTGCACTTTTGATATCGACTTGTCTGGTGGTGTAAGACATCCTCAAACAACTTTTAGCTTGGTATTCAGAATGATCTGAAGCTAGTACTTCGCCAACTGAAGATGTCCTGTCGGCTAGTGATGAAGCGCCTGCAATGCGAGTGCACATGAATACCTCAGCATCCAGCCGAGCTGCCGAGTTCCGTTTGATATACACTACTGCTTGCCAACAGAGTTCATAGGAATCAGTAACGCGTAACATGGATAGCTTTGCTGGCCTTTTGGATTTCCATATATTTTCGCAACTTCTCAGTACACCAGCAAATTTTTCATTATCAAATGATGCAACGTTATTCGAGAACAGTAACTGCTCTATTGCTCAGAATAAATTAGCCAGAAACGCCCACCCAAACTGAATAAGTCTGGGTTTGCGCTAAATATTAACAACGAATCATCGGCTTCCGAACTCAGTACTTGCAACCGCACGATGATTACATCTTCTTTCTTAATTTCAGCGTTCCTTTGCCCATATGATTCGGGGTACTAACCACATGTAACGCATAGGCTCACCTCAATGAAGCAGCAAAAATATTCACATGTGCTATGGTTGAGTTGATTGGAAACACATAGACATCCTTATAACAAATACCATATATTTGTGTAACGCATCTCTTACCTAATTCATTATTTTCTGTAATAAAGGTTGCATTACTTTTCAGTATTTTAAACCACACATATTCAACTTAGGTTGCATGGAATATAGTGTCTTAGTGTCTTTTATTTTTAAACAATCCTTTGCTTCTTTGTGTCTTTAGACGTTCCGCAGTCAAAATGGCTGTGAATGATGCCAAAAACAAGGCGGAAATTATCGCATCGGCGTTTGGCCAACGCATCCGAGGCTTGGTCAGGGTAACGGAAACGGAAACTGCAATACAGAGCATCACAGAGGAAGAACGTGCTCTCCCGCCCCGCAGAAGTGTGCTGATGGACTTGAGCTCAGCTATCAGAGCAGCGCGACAGAGGTTGTGTGTCCGGCTCGATGCCGTGTGCGCACTTGGTGAATTCACGCGATGATGATGATGCACAGACTTTAGTTGTCTACACTCTCACCGTACTCAAAACATGGTTTCCATAATCTATTACTTGAGTCGCTTAATGAAGAAGCAACTCAAACGCGTAGCTGACACTCCATGTTTTTTCGCATACTGGGATTCCTTGTATGGTATATTGATTACTTTCGAAGTGTCCAATAGCGTGATGACTAAAAACGGTGCTGCATACTCCCAACGCAGAGAACATACGAAAACTGTTGTGTTATCTGTACATACAGTATAAACCCAATGCTGAAATATCTGCGTTAGGTTTTGACCCTCCAGACAGTTACTTAACCAGATGCTCCTGGGGGCAGTTCATTAGGATTCTTTGAAGGGGAATTATCAAGAATAAAAAAGTAAATGCCTAACAGCTTTCCGGAGGTACACAGTGAGAGCAGAAATGGGTATATCAAGGACGCACGCTGGTCACACAAAGCACGAATAGGCGATGCGTCGGTTTCCGATTACTAACGATTGCAGCAAACTACAAAACGGTCTGTGCAAGGTTGAATATCGGATTGACAGCAGTGAACTGGCGGCTACAAAATAAAGTGCAGCAACTAATCTACACCTTGGTTTAAACGGCTTCATACCGTGGCATCATGTCAAACTAGCCGCATAAAGAAGAAATAACTCTTGTATCTCATCCCCATCTCACTTCGGAGAATACGTCTCGTGTAACTCAAGTCACCACGTCAACGACGATACTCCAGGGAGAACAAGTTCATCCTTTGAAGGCGATGAGAGTAAGATAGATTACAGAATATCATGACGGATTTCGATCCCTGCCGTTGAACCTTCTCTATCAGCACGCATTCACCTTTTTTGGGAGGATAGGATGCTGGCGATCCGTACTCAAGAATTGGTTAAACATAACAGCTGAAGAGAAGTCGGAATATCTCTGGAAGCATCTCGGAAAAGATCCGCTTGTAGAGAAGAACATATTATTAGCAGTGGCAACTTTCTCCAGGGTGTCTTAAGTCATTGGTAGGTTTAGCGAGACACTAACGACAGGATCCTTCTTCAAGGTTGCCTTCCTGAACAGGAAGCCCCCCAATGTAATAGACACCAAAGGGGTCCCGGGCACCAATTGGCAGGACAGACCACTTAGAATGGTTAATGGGTAGCTCATGAATAATGCCCATGTTAAGATAAGAAGTTCAAATAGCGAAGAGATCTCTTTTCTAGTATTCTCATCAGGCCGTTACATGAATAAGAAAAACGTACAGCGCGGTAAGCTGTTGTCAGCTAAACTGAGGACAGATAAGCCAAGAGTTTAAACGGAATTACTAAGTCAGATCGATGTCTAGGTCAATTCACCTAGGATAGGCCTCGCAGCTGATTGTAGGTCGCCTTGGGTATGTCTCTCAGCCCATAGTAAGCCGTTAATGTCCGGCACGGAGTAACTGCTGCGTGGCCAGGTCAAGAGAAGCACTTGTACAAGGGTTCGCTGCTTGCACAATTCTGCCTGAGTCCGTCTGACGTAAATGCCTTCTGAGAGCCTTCGGATAACGTAGTGACAGAGAGTAGAAGACCTTAAACGCATCCAATGTCCGAATTTCGTGTCCACATGGGATCAAATGTTCCACGGTAGCATCGTTTATGCTTCTACGGTCTGGTGCGAATAATCGGAAAGTGATCTCTTCGCTATTTATACTTCTTATCTTAATGGGTAGCTGCCACTCTGCTGACCAGCAGTGCAACCGGTCCACTGTTACCTCTGGCACTTCAGCATCATTAAGCTGGGACACCTGTAGCCACAGTTTCAGACCATCAGCATATATGAGGCAATCAGTTTGAAGCTCAGATGAAAGATCATTGATATAGACTTTGAAGAGCTAAGGACCAAGGTCAGAGCCTTGTGGGACCCAGTTGATCATAAAAACAGCATCAAACTGGGTATCGTTCACTTTAACTTGCATGCTTCGGCCATTCAAGAATTCAGCGACCAAAGAGACAATCTTTCAAGTAACGCCAATTCCCCGGAGTTTGAGAAAAAGATGTCCATGAGGAACTTTATCAAATGCCCTGCTGAAGTAGACGAAAACGACATCCAGACGATTACTGGCATCCAGCGACCTCACCTTTTTCCTTTCGCAACAAGCAGGTTAGAGACACAGGAACGTGAACTCCGAAAACCATGTTGAGCGCATGAAAGACTACGCAGGTTCTCCAAGTGAATATTTAGGGCTCTCTTAAGAATTCTTTCCAGGATTTTCCAAATTATTGATGTGTCAAACAGATCGGCCGATAGTTTGCAGGATCCTGCCGATTCCATTGCTTGTATTCATGATGATACTTCACCGCAGTTGGGCTAAACCAATGTACACTTAAACTAGGTCTTTTTAAGTTAGATAAATTGCATTCTACTTTATTTGCTTTGTTACTCCTATATGAATAATCTTCTATTAACTGGCCACGTTGCTTATGTTAATTGTGGTCATCTTCGTTAACTTTATTAGGTTTGTAGGATTTTTTGAGTAACTTTTGGACATCTTGCACTTTTCACGGATTTGTTGCTAACCAACTTACTTCATATGCTAATTTAGCAAAGTGTTATATCCGCATAGCCGTATGCTTTAACGGATATGTTTTCTTTGATAATGTCATTTCAAGTGATTGGCTGTTTGACATCCCCGGAGTGGCTGCACTTGATGTGCATGTTGACAAGGTGCCTACCTGTCTATTACCCACTACCTCGTCCATACTGGCTCCAGTAGACAGTTGCTCGTTGCTGGAGAGGACCGGATGCACGGTCCTTGTGGCCGTGCTAGGCTCAAAGAGTGCTTCCATGCACTCAGTGTGAAGCGGGCTACGGTCCAGCCACCGCCTGGTGTGCGATTGATTCCCAAATACAGCGTGCTTGTGTTTTCTGTGAAGGACTATGGGCCGGCTCCGTCGATGTAGCGTGGCTCCCACCCACATGACTCCCGGTCTTATTCTTTCTGGTTTACACTGAATATGAGGTGTGTGGATGGAGCTGTGGGTGGTGCAGCGCAAGCCACCCATGGTCCCCCTGTAGGCGCAGGCGTCCTGTGGCTTGCCACAGTGCCAGGCAAATCCGAAACCGGATTATGCCAACCATATGGGCATCACAGTAGCCAGTTTCCAAGCCCTCGGAAGACGTCCGGCATTTAAGCAGCGCCAAAAAGCTTGACAAACAGGAGAAGCGATGTGCTGAGCCACCGTCTTGAGGAACAAATATTACAGGTCATCCGGACTCTATGAAGAGTTCCGATTTAATTCGAGAAGTAGTCGCATAGCCAAGTCGTTACTTAGCTCAATATGCTTTGGTGTAGAGGGGTGGGGTGACAAAGTCACGGGATGATGGAGCATCGATGGAAAAGTCGGAGGATTACTGCAAAAGCCAGAAGGTCAGCTTCAGCATCATACTCATATAGTAAGTATCATTATTGCTAGAATACAGGGCAGATATCCCACACCCAGCTTTTGTACTCCTTTTCAGCTACGAGAACAGTACTTTGGGAGTGGTCTTGGATATTTCTGCCAAAAGAATTTCGTACTGTTATCGTTTTTCGCGTTTCGTTTATGTGCAGAGGTCCCTAACCGCCTTATAGTCCATGTGGTGGTCTAAAGGCGATGTTGTAGACTTAAATATATCCCATAAGCCGACTGTTTAATATCCCCTTTGTAGCTTGCCAAATCCGAATGGAATGAGTGTACGTTCGATGTTGCGGAATGGAACAATGGTTTAGAAAGGGTAAAAAAGCGCAGGCTTAACATGTCCTGTAGGTTGGTAATAGAAGCAATTGTGGTTTAACTATTACATAAGTGGACCAAAGAAAATACGCATGAGCAAACCAAAAGGATAATTGTGTTAAGAGGGATGGTTATTCGACTGAGAAGTACAGGCAAACCAAGTAAAAAATTGTGATGGTTAATACTCATAGCAAGTGAAAGCAGATTACTAATCCAGCTGCACAAATTTACGTGCTTCACTGTTGGTCATAATTCCAAAGGAGCTAGGTAGCCAGAATAAATCTAGTATATGCCTTCAAGTAACATAGTGTAGAGCGTTCAATACGATATCCAAGCGTTTTCTGAAAACAGCTAATGTGGGAGCACAGATAACTGAATTTGGATGTCCGTACCAGGTTGGCAGGTCCAGAGGGAGAAGAAATTCCGTCGACACTCTAGACGACTGTGTTGTTGATTCACTTTCAGGTTATTACCTCTGAGGTTACTGTTAGTCCACAACAAAAGCAGCGATCACAAGCCCGTTCACAAGAAAGCGCAGAACAAATAGTTACTACGCAACCAAAGAGCGATGACAGTGATAGCTTCCAACGTCCCAGAACCCACTAGCGAATCGCTAAAAGGTGGACACGCCGTGGAGCAAAACCGCTGGGCTGAAATAACCTGCCCGCTCGGACTGAAAGTTCTCCCAACTGTTCTTACACGCCTTTCACGAAATCCATCATCTCCACACGTAGGGGAACCTCGGTTACTGCGGGTAACGTTTGACAATCCACGCGACCTGGAAGATGTTCTCTTAACAAACCACATTCTAGTGAACTCTTCTGTCAGGGCCCGCATTTCTCCTGATAGGTCATGGGCAGAAAGACAGGAGCGGAAATCTAACCCTATTGCGTCACCTCAACATGTGACGAAGAAAGTGGTACTGGTTCATGGTGTGCCAGACTTGAAGCATAACGATAGCAGTGAATGACAGAAGCATGACATCGAAGAATGGAGGTACATCGCAGAGCTCTACGACATGCAGAATGCCGTGGCTTTTGACGTCACCCGTCTAATTGCCTCCACAAAGTACCAAGGTAGCGGGCCACGAATTTTGAAGGTTAGCTTGGCTGCGCCCGAAATGGTGTCAGTGACGACCCAAGCGTAGCATGACAACAGGAAACTTGGGCCACCATAAGTACGGTTAAGACCATTCTTCAGATAGTACAGACCTCAGATACAGATGGGCCAGTCTCGGTTGCACCTATCTCAGATCAGCCAGCCGTACATACAATTGTTTCAAAAAGGTTTAGCAGACCGGCACTATTTGTGCCACTCACAACGAACCGAGCTCCTAATGGGTCCACAAATAGAATGCTGCTACACCAACACTCAGGGGTTTTATTCCAAACCCTCAGAGCTGCGCCATCAACATGAAACAACAACTTAGGACCACTTAGGAGTTACAGGAACTTCGCTTTCAAATGACATACTTGATCCAGAGATTGAACTCAGTGAGATATCAGTCATTCGAAATGATCGTCCATCTGGCGGTGACGG